AAAAAAAAAAAAAAAAAAAAAAAAAAAAAAAAAACATATACCGACGAATTGAATACCTCCTTCTTTTGGGAAGTCGGTCAAAAAGACACTTTTTAATGATTAAATTTTGCCACTAAATCACATTATATTTAAAAAAAAACTTTGCAGGACTGTTTTTATAGTAATAAAGTATACTTTTAAAAAGTTTGGTACAATTTGGCGTCATATGCATATTGCAGTTTCCGTTCTTTGAGATAATATTCTACTACGTATTTTATATAGTTCAATATATTCTTATTATTTGTTACAAAAATAAATAAAATAAAATCAGTGTCGAAAATAAAATACTGAATCGCTTTCGCCTCAGCGTTGGCGTATTTTTAACTGGTCAATAATGGTTTCCGAGCTACTTTTAACCATGACATGGAAATGGTTCGCGCCATTTCTGCCGCACCCAACAGAGAGCGCTGTGCCTGTGAGACATTACTTTATTATGTTGCGATGTTTACACCTAGTCTCGCTTCACATATTATCCTCGTACTTCCAACTTTGTTAAGTTTGAGTCATTAACTCTTTGCACAGAGATAGATACGAAGGAATCGAAACTTAAGTACTAGTCCTAGCCGAAGCCCTAGCTGGCCCCTGAATCTAAAGTTATTGAGCAAACTAAAAGTAGACACATTTTCTGTAAAACTTTTATTTTTTCAATAATTAAAAAATTGCGAGAATTGAAGGATATTTAAATTTTAATATTATACATGAAAATAAAATTATTTGTTTAGTTTTCTCCTTATTTTCCATCTAATCCATTTCTAAGTTAATAAGTGACTTTAAGATTTTTTCCCCAGAAGTCATATCTCATGATATAACTACTACAAGGTAAGGTACACCCTTGCTATCTAGACTCGTAGTGAGTCCACCACCCACCAATCTGCGAAGCCAAGCATATGCAAATATGCAGCTAACCAAGTGCCGTCATAAAGTTTGGATCACTTAATACAAAAAGAAGGGTAGAATCGCGCAGGTAGTGTTAACATTTGCGCTAGGCCATGTTGGCGTGCACGTTTGCAGAAGGCACCAGCTAGGGTCTGCGGAGGATTCGAGCTCTACCAAGGTTAACGCGACAAGGCTAACCTAAAAATAGCCGCACACCAGCAAGTAAATAAACAGAGCAAATGAAACTTTCGTATTGACCGCAACAGGCGAAAGTGAGTGGACGCTAGCGCGCGGCGCTCGCTCGCTCCCGCTCCCGCTCCCGACACTTGAACACGAGCAAGCACGAGTCCAGTGACGAGCCCTTGTCTTGCCCTTTTATTTTTTAATTCTCTACTAGCTTTAACTCGCGACTTATCGTTCTAAATCCCTGCGAGTAAATTAGCATATCGATTTTGACGACTTTTTGAACTTCTTAAATAGTAACATATGTGCCCAGATGAGCCACACCGCAAAAACGGAAATACAATAAAGTTTTCGTATACTTGACAAGTTATCGTGCAAAAAAATAAAAGTTTTTTGAAACCTAATGTTCAAATACATACAACCAAATACAATTGCAAAACATATTTTATTAACTAAAAAAAACAGTTTATTATAGCCTGTAGATAATAATTTTGCGAATAATGTATAAATTAGAACACTGCTATCATCACGCTATGAGCTCCGAGTCCCCGAGACACACTCAATGAAATGAGCAGTACATACCTTCAAGAATTTATTAGAGCGTTCTCCGCTCCGGGTCTAAGGCAATATGGACACATAAATAGTTTTTAAATAATGACATAGTAAAGCGAGATATTTGCGACGGTTAACTGATGTTTGTGAGCGCGCGCGAACGCGGTCGGTTGCAGCACGACAGCAAGTGTCAGTGGACGGCACGCGACTGCCTGCTGCACAGCTGCCAGCTGCCAGACCTGACTAGCTAACTCGCTGATTCGCTGGCTGGCTGCCTGGCTGCCTGGCTGACTGGCTGACTGCCTGACTGGCTGGCTGACTGGCTGACTGGCTGACCGGCTCAACGGCTGGCCACGCCGCGATGGCCTCGATCAACATCGATATCAAAGCCATTGCCAGTGAGAATTTCGATATGTGTTATAGTACAGTAAAAATATAATGACAACAATAGTACAAGGAAGTGTATAGTATTCCGCGAGTTCATAAGGGCGGGCGGGAGTTCGTCGCGGAGGGGCGGGCAAAAAGGCACGAGGCCGCGGCCGCGACGTCGCCGCCTGCCGCCGCACGGAGCCCAGCGGGCCGAGCGGGACCGCGCGCCAGTCTCTTGCCGCGCCCGCCGCACACACACGATCAGACATCACATTGAAGCCTTGCTCCTCTTACTCCTATTTGTTAACTTCTATTACTCTATGAATACTAGTTTGTGGATACATTTTATACAAGCTGTATTCCTGTTGCGGAATTTTTTTGAAAGTTAAATATGAATAGCGGCAGATCGGATGCCTCCACTTCCACCGAGGACATTAAGGTAGGCGGCCCCTGTGTCCATATCTAGCTATTAGTTTTGCACAAGTGGCGTTGTTGTGTTTGCAGGCGCGTCCGCTGTGCCTGTACTACTTTACGCACCCGTTCGGCGTGCTGTCCCCGGAGCCGCCGCAAGTGGCCGCCTTCGTACCTGCCGCGCCCACCGCCCCCACCGCGCCTACCACTCCCGAAGCGCACAACGCGACCTTCTCACCCACCGCGCCTATCGTACCCACCACTTCTCTCGCCTTCGACCTGGCCAACTGGGCGCGGATGACCTGGTACTGTACTTTAGGGTAGTTGGATTGAGCGGGTCCGTGACCGTCAATCGGACGCGGTAAATTTAATTCAGTTACAAAATGAGGGCATCCATAGAAAATTTAGTGCAGGATGTGATCATCCCTTCCACTGCTCTATCGGGTATCTTACGCAACGCTTCGCCTATTTATTATCACTGTATTTACGAAAGATCCGACGGTTTTCAAAATCTTATTAAAAATAAAAAAATCAAGGTTTACTCATAAACATAAGAAATGAAATAAAAGTCAGAAAAAAAACTGTTGTCATCAATTAATAATTTGTCAGTGGTAGTGCCCGCTTTAACATCTTAGCACGAATGGGCCAACACGCCCGGTGTAATACCACGACCACACAGAAGACAGACGTGAAATGGACGCAATTCCGTGTTTCGTCTAATGAGTGTGGTGCCGGAGGCCTAATTTGAGTCCCTTTCTCTTTACCACCCTTATCTTATAAGAGGAGGTTGGGAAGAGGAAGTGGATTTGACGGTGGAGGAGATGCATAGGAAGGGGGAATATCTTTATGTGCGTCTCCTCCTCTGTCGTATAAGGGTAGGCAACGCATCTGCAATTGCGGATGTCTATGGGCACCGGTCGCTTCGCCATTTTGGCGGTTTCAGGTGGTCGCTTGCTCGTTTGCCACCTAATGTTATATAAAAAAAAAATAATATACTTAGTATTGCAATATCGGTAATATTACACAAACATAAGTACAAAGATACTTCAAATTTATTGAAACCATGCTTGTAATGCTATTATTACCGCCAGTTCGTGGTTTTCGGAGGACATGTGGTCGTGGTACGGCGGACGAGCAAGCACTCGCCTTCCGCCGCTGCGCGTGCGCCGCATGCTGGGCGGCGCGAGCGGCGCAGGGGGCGCGGGGAGCGTCGTGCGCACGCCACCCCGCGGCCGCCGCGCGCTTCCGCCGCTGCCCGCGCCGCCGCCCGCGCCCCGCGCCACGCTGCGCTCGCCACGACCCGCGTCGGGGCGCGTGCGGCTTTCGCGCATGTTCGCCCGCTCCCTGCACACCACCCTCACACGTATGTCAATATTTCTATTGAATTATTGAATGGAAAGTATCAGATATTAAAAGAGAAGTTAATATGCTATTATCGTACCATCAAAAAGCGTGTCAATAGTACGTAAGTATATTTTCAATAGTTATACCTGTACAATTCAAAAACAACGCTAGTACCTACTAATAAGTAGATACCTATGATGTTAATATTAACTACTAGCTGTTCGCGTGCGGCTTCATCCGCATGTAATTATGAAAATTTTATTTTATTGTTTACATTTATCAAATTATCAATAGCAAATGTCAAAATAACATGAGTATAGATGTCGAATTAGTTCGAGTTGCGGGATGCGCTATAAGCTACCGCAGCCACTATTTAGTAAATGTTGACTCGGCGAATGGCGGCCGTTTGACGAATAAGGAAAATGAACACCAATGCCACTTGTTAAACCTCGACCCGATGGCGACCAATGTAAAAGAAAAAAGACGACGTCCAATGACTCACTCTGGCCCAAATACGTCGATACCAAAATGCGTAGACCGAAAATGCACCGTGAAACCGCCCATTAGGAAATATTATTTCAGAAAACCCGAAAGAGGACAATCAATTCTACGAGTATGTACGGCAACGTGTTTTTGTATACATTTTTAGATAATAATATAATTACAAACAACGTAAATCTACTTCCACCGATTTCCGCTAGAATGGCGCGCTTATACTTAATACTCCGGAATGACATTGACAAATGTCATAGGGATGGGACGTGTATGCCAATGACCTAGTCCTAGTATTGCGTCGCTCGTTACTCTAGCGCGGTACCGACTTCTTCTTAACTATGTAAATTCTAAAGTGTTTCTCCTGAAGGAATATAATCTTTCAATAAAAACATTAACCTCCCTTTAGACGTTTAGGGGACGAGTTAAGTGAAATCCTTTCTAAATGCTTGCTTCGTTACAGAAAGGTGTGAGCAACATTTCAAGCCTACAGCCACTCTATGAGTGTTATTGTTGTCGATAACCGGGTTATTATTCTCGTGCGTAAAATTGCGCAGGTACAGGTACTTACTGCTTATGTATTATCAAAATAGGCTAATTGTGTATCGCAAATCAATGGTATCTATTCCACGATGTCCGTGTGTAAAACGATACACTTGACAATGAACTACTTGTGAAACTGGTGCTGGTGCATTGCATGCTAGTGGTGCAGCTGCACGAGCTCAACACATGTGTGACGCCGCGGCGGGGGCCGCGCGGCGCGGGATGGGCGGCGGGCGGCGGTCAGCACGCAGGCCAGTCGGCAAGCGCGGCGCCTGCCAGTCGCACGTCGTTCGCTGTCGTCAGCGCGAGCGCGCGCGCGAGAGTGAGCCAACGCAGTTCCGAAGTCCCCGCGGGAGTCGGACTCGAACTCAAGTCTCGCAGCCGCCGCCCGCCACCGCCTCCTCCGAACTCCTTCGCATCACATCTTACTAATGGACATTCTCGTATCGATTTCTGGCGCGCAATCATTCTAAATAGGTAATTGTTAGTGTAGTGTAAACTGTAATGAAGGAGAAACATACTAAATAACTGTAGGGGAAGAATTTTCAGAATGTACTTCTGTACGTAAACTTGTAGAACTGAAGCAAATCCGCCGGCTGTGTGAGGCTGTGCGGCGGAGAACGCAGTGCGCAACGACCCAGGTTCGAACTGTTGCCCAATCTTGACAGATGACCTTTTCAAGTGTAGGGGAAAGAAAAATGATAATGAGAATAAGTACTGCAAATTATAAAACATGTTACACATAAATATCAACTCGTTGCAATTCGACGAAGGTACGACTTTTGCGGATTGCGGTTAAGTCAGGTGCTGTGACCGCCACGCGATCACCTGACCCTCTAAAATTTTTACAAACTTTAATTGTTTTGTATCTTCGTCAACTTTCCCCCTCGCTTACCTCGAAACAACAAAAAAGGTACTTGACATATGACCAGATAAATTCTATTTACGTGTCCTAAAAAAGTAAAATTAAAACTATTAAATATCGTGATTAAGGTGACTGCGTCATTTACGAGCTGTTGCAACTGAACACCTGCCGACTGCTACACGTCCATGACCTTTCCGAACAGTTACGACGAACTGTTTATTTCGTTTTTCATTAACTTGGTTATCAGAAGTTAGTAAAGTATGTAATTCATGGAGTAAATGGTTAATTACTTGGTCGCGTAGTCTCTCAAGAACTAGGACGAAAACTTGGTCGAGTATCTACAAGCACCTCGAGTAGTTCATACAGTAATTGTGATTGTGTGTTACACTCCATAGTGCAAATCATGACATCTACGCGTCTTGACCTATCTAGTTGACCAAGAGAAATAGATATAAAGATTATCTCCACATCTCTTTCTATGTGATATCCCATATAGTGGTGTGGTCAGTTATCTCTGTAAGCTCTCCCACTTTGCTCGGACTTCGACATATTTATTTGTTTCATCCAAATATATCATAACCACGCCTTTCCACCTTCTTTTGGCGTAGGCAAAGTTATAGTGGCGAATAACCACTGCATTCATGCGTTGTCCTTCTAAGTGCCGATAACATCTTAGCCTACTCCCTACATGTCGCACACACCAAGGCTAAGGATGCTCGTACTCTTTGCAAAGATCTTGTCGAGCACTCCGCCGCACGTCCACATCATCCTCTTCGTATCACCAACGTATTTGTTATAGTCGTTACTTTGGGTCATGGCACATGTTTAATAAACTACTACGTAAATGAAATACGTAGTAAGTATATCAAATTGAATGAAACTTCAGTTTTAGATTGATTAGGATCAGAACTATCACTTTATCATTAGGTGCAATAACACAAGTGTACGTGATACGAAGCTTGCGAGGTAGTTGTAAAAAGAAATTGATAAATATTTCTACATGTGTTTGTACAGGTGGACGAGAAGGGCGCGTGGTGCGCGGAGTTCGCAGCGGAGTGCCCGTGGCGTGGCAGCAGCCGTCGTGGCAACGCACAGCTCGGTTAGTGGCATGCCACCACCCCCGCCCCCGCCTGTACACACGGCTTGCCTGCCCTAGTTATCGCACTCGCACCACCTCCTTATAATCTATCCTTTCTTTGTGTGTATTTAAATTTTCCTCTCTATACGAACAAACTATCTACTTAACCAGATCTCCCACGCGCCATTAATTTAACCTACGAGGATTTGAGAGATTTTATAATCGGCATGAGGTAATTCCGCAGTAAAATAAAAAAAAAAAATGAAACGGCCTTTCAGGTGTCGTCCGTCTATCATTTAAGTCATTCGCCAACCACCGCCACCCGCATCTACTGTTATACCGGAATTACGTGGTATGCTCAGTACCCCACCGATGGCAACCTCCAGGCCGAAGGAGAGCGCCAGCTAAAATTCCCAAGACAGCCGTACTAGTCAGTCAAACCATACTATAAGTTTAGCAACTGAACAAGCTACCGTCCAAATAACACAATCTAATGTGTCTTGGCTCCTATATAAAGTCGGCATGCATGTCGTCGCACCGTTGACGTCGTGCTTGAAGCGGCTTTGTCTGCACTGTTCGTATTGTCCTGCACACGCTCGCTAAACATACGACATGGCTCCGACTATGACTCACAGAACATGTTCACTTCTCCTCATATCTCTTCAACGTAATATGTAACATGAGCTTCGCGGTCTGCTGGAGACTGCATGCAATGTATAAATTATTAGCTTTTGTCCGCTACTCCGTCCGTGAAGAATTAAAAAGAATGTTACTATGTAGCCTTTGGGTTTGCTAAATTTTGTCGAGAACTATTGAGCCATTCTAGAGATAGCTATAGATATACAAAAGCAAACATCCATCAATTATGATCTTAGTAAAAAAGGTATTATAACGATATATTCGTTTTGTAGTATGTGTATCGTCTATTACAGAGGGGTGTATGAACTTTCGGGAAACCTTTAATCAAAAACAAAGTAGCTTCAGTGTTAAGCCGCGACAAATTCTAAGTTTAGCCCCAAGACATTCAGATACCTAACTGCATTCATGTATAACTTAGTGTTCTCTTTGCACATTCTGTGTACTTCAACGCTGTGTATAAATAAAACAAGCGCTGTACACTCATACGCCGCGCCGCGCCGCCCGCGCCGCGCACTGCCGGACGCCGCCACCGCTGCCACCGCCGCCTCCGTCGCCTCTGCGCGCAGTGGCTGAAGATTTACGTTTATATTACTATCATACTAGCTGTTCCCGTGCGACTTCATCTGCATAAAATTATGAAAATTTTATTTTATTATTTACGTTTGTCAAATTATCAATAGCAAATGTCAAAATGACATAACATAACAAAACTTGACAATCTTGCTTCCTTGGCGTTGGCAGCAACTTATGGTCTCTTTCCCACATTAAGGTTTTTATCCAAAACATTTACCCCCTGAGTTTAATTATTCAAAAATACGCTGTAATTGCTGACATCTTAGGCAACAAAGTAGTGTATGTTTACGCTTTATTATAAGAAAAAAAAGTATAGATGTATAGATATAGACAGATTACACTACCTATAATGTACATACCGTTTAGTAGTCGTCAGCTACAAGAGAGTCAATAACCTACACATACCATACATACCTAGGTTATCTGACAGAATTAGCCGTTACATCAAAATCTCTCTTAGCCTACTCCGGTTAGATATCCTTGTTTGATTATACAGTCAAAGGTTTTTGACATATCCAGCGAAAGGTGGGGGCTAGTGAGTTGCCATAATTTAGTTAAACTTAAGCCTATTGTGCCGTGCCATATACTTAAAGTATACATAATTTTTAATTGTTTGCCAATGCTTGTGCTGCTAGATCTGATTTACTTTAAATCTAAGTACTTTCTTTAAAATAGTGCTTCTATGGGCACTGGGGCGATTTCAAAGTAATTCAGGTCAAATGATATAAGAGAAAAGTTAAAAAAAAATTCTAAAAGTGCCGTATACTTTCATATTCAATAGATTTTACGTTACAAAATATATGTATTTAGTCATACAAAGAACATGCAAGCAAAATACGTTCAAAGAATCACATGAAAATATCAATGTTATCATAAGTCATCATTTTAGCCCACTGTGCGCCGGCACACGCGCGTGACTCAGCAGCTTGGGTCGATGTGCGCAAAACAGTCAACTGCGGGCGAACTCTTTCGATTACGAAAAATTCACTGTTGCGCGGCAATGGTGTCTACTGTCGCCGGTTGGTTTCGAGGGCGCGATGAACGTCGCGCGAGCTAGTAATACCCGGTCCGTACTCACTGCGCTCATAATAAATGTTTATTTTTAAATAATAATCAGAAAAGCTGGAAGTACAATCGATACGTTAGTGCGGGCAAGCGGAGGCGATTGAAACATGCGTCCACTTTCGTTCAAATTTCACGTCCATTTGCACAATTTCGTTATAAAAAGGGTAGTTTTTTCTTATCTTTTCGCTTCACTTATCTTAGCTATGAAAATTGCAACTATTTTATATTTTTATTGCAAATTTGATCTTGTGGCAAGTCACAAGTTATTAAATTATTCACGTGTTTGAATATTGTCTTTTGGAAACTTCTCTTTGGATCAACCCAAAATAAGGTATATCTATAATGAAAAGTAGGTATTAGACTCAATGATAGATACATAGAAAGCGCATAACTGATGTACCAGATATGTAAATAGCTTTCATAATTGCAACGATGCGCTCCGTTTGCCGGGGCCCGTGTCTCTGCCGCGCTGCCGCCGCCCGCCGCCGTCGCATCTCCGCGCCCGTTGGAGCGTGACCAGCTCGAGCATTCATTATAATTAAATCGATTGCATAAGATTGAGAAGGGACTCTGGCTCTCTACATAGTGCTCTATGATTTGTGCACTAGGCTCTGCACACTATCCTGTATTCTCTGTTTGCACAAGATATACTTACACAGAAATCGCAGATATGATATTTCTGAATGCCTATCTGTCAGGCTATTCGTTACAAAATAGCCAATTTTATGCCTTTGTATAAAGTTATGTCAATGTTCTTATTATGCAGAAAAACAACCTGTGATTTCGTTGGAGAGAGTGAGAAGAAAGCAAACAATACGATGAGCTTCCAAACTGGCAAAGAGACGATCGCGTCTGCGTCTGCCGCGCCGTCCACCGCGCCGCCCACTGCTCTACCAGGCTTGCTTCACCGCCGTTACTCCGCGCCGGAAACTGTCATGCGCAAGTAGGTGTTAACATCAACGATAAGATTTATGAGATTTCCAACAATAAATTATTCCAAGAGGCGTATCACATTAAACATGAAATATTTGCAAGCCGCAATCAGTAAGATTTGAAGTATTAACTACTTTGTTTATTTTAACGATTAATTCAATTTAAAGTTATGTATTATGTTTGTTCGTAATGATAAATAACCACATAATCGTTTTTAACATCCCTTCACCGTGAACCATTCACGATCTCTGTCGGATAATGTTTTAGGGATGGGCGATTTGTTATTAATCTTATTTACAGGTACCGCTTGGAGCAACTGAGCGTTCAGGAATTGAACAGCGCCCCCGAGGCGTGCCGCTGCGCCTTAAGTGATGTCGAGGCCGGATCCGCGGGGGCGGCACGGCGAGAGCGCACGCCGGCCCGTCGTTCGGCTCTGCTGCACCGGCTCCGCGGCCGCGTCACCTGCGCATGCGCCTGCCGCTGCGCGCCCGCCTCCCGCTCGCTCGATACCTCCCGCTCGGAGCTGCGCCCGACCTCTTCCGCTTCCGTCTCCGGACACACCTCACCGAAGCCGCTACGGTTCGAATCCAGCACTATACCGTCCCGACTCGGCGTTTCGTCTTCTGCCGAAAGAGACGCGGCGATCTCATCATTTACAGATAGAGACATACGAATTGGTTCTGCTTCGGATATGAGTTATAGAGATGTATCGGAAACCGGTCTCCGACGTTCCGGAATCACGACCGTCTGTAGCGATGGCACCGGAGAATGCCGCGATGGAATGTCATTAGTAGATTCGAGCGACACTGTCACGCTGCCCACATGCACGACGAGAGACGTCACGCGGACGGCGTCCATCTCGGCCGCTGCTCGAGCTGACAATGTGCAACTCGGCAATGTTCTTTCTAGGGAGAGTCCGCTGACGACTCGACCTCGATCGTACGATATCCTCGAAATCGTCGTCTCGGAGTCGTTGGATACTAATTACACTTCCGGCTCCAACGTGTCCTTATCTGACAATATACAAAATCGTCTCGAAAAAAAACCGCCAGAGAAATATAGTTCGTATAAAGATATTTCAGGTGAAAATATCGACGAGTACGTTTCTAGTATATTAGTAGAAAGTTTGAATTCGTTGACCGACCAATTGGAATCTATGAACGCATCTATCGGTGTCAATGGGAAATTGAACATTATTGAAAAGGAGATAAAAATCAAGTTACAAAACACGGGAGTGAACACTATCGTGCACTTGAGCCCCACTTCGAACAATCAAATAATATTTGGTCAAGAGGAGCTATGTAGCAGCGAGGAGCGGCGCGAGGGGCGCGGCCAACCCGGCGCGCCCTCGCCGGCGCCGCGAGACGAGTCCGCCGCCGCCGCTGCCGCCGTCGCCGTCGCCGGCCACTCCACGCGACCCGAAATAGCGCACGACTCCAACAGAGCAGTCTTGCAACAAATACAAAGACTGTTTCAGGATGACTTTCAACTGTTAGAACGCGATGCGCGTTATTCTAATGAAAGTATGTCTAGTATATCTCACATAGAGATATCTAAGGCTGATGTCTATATGGAAAATGAACCCGTGTCTTATTCGACGACAGCAGAAACTATCAAAAATCCTGCGAGCTCCGAGGCCTCGGAAGTGATAAGCGGAGTCGGAGCAGGCAACTACTATGAAAACATCGCCGACAACGCGCTCGTTGCTCGCTTTTCAGCTTTTCCTCACACGGAGTCGATGGTCGTAAACACTTCTTCCTCGGAGGATCACGACCTGCACGGTTCCGAATGTGCGAGTCTCGTGGACAGCTTAGACGATCCCAATTCGCCGCGATTGCTCGCGTTCAGCAAATCCACTGGCAGGAGAAGCGAGCTCGTGAGATCCTCTATCGATGTCTTAGATTTGTTGCCCGAAAACACATGTCGAACAGAGAGTGCCGCTTCTAAAGACAAAAGTGAAGCTTTTTTTGTCACAATTAAAGATGATCATTGTGAATATGAACGCGAAAATAAGGATATTGTAGTGGCTGATCATATGCCGGAAACTATAAAGCAAAGATTGTACAGGAGACATAGAAATAGGGAACTCCGCCTGGAGCGAGCGCGGCGCAGCAAGACGCAGCAGCTGCGCCGCGAACTGACTCAACAGCGCCACGGCCACCAGTGCAGCGCCCGGAAGGAGATAGACCGACAGGGTATGTCCCTCATTAAATCGCTAATCGATGACGCCATTTTAAAAATAATCCAAGATGAGCTCAAATGTATGAGGATAAAACAAAAGTCGGTCCTGATGGTGTCGGCAAAGTCTGATGAATCCTTGTGTGCAAAGAACAGGAAGACAGACGTCGACCTTATCAGTCATTGTAAAAAAATATCTAAAACCAATACATCGCAGTCGTATCCTGACGGTATCGACAAAAGGTACAGGAAAGAAAAATTCCAAATACGAGGCAAATTGTCTCTTCAGTCCTATCCTTCATCACCGCTTGATGATAGCAAGTCAAAAAGAATTTATCAAAAATCCGAAATACATGATGGAAAAAGATGCATTGAAATCTTAGAGATATTAGAGTACGTCAGCAGTTCGGCGAGCTCCCCCGACACGTGCAACTCTGAAGAAAACCTCAGTGCTAAGGTCAAGAAATCGCGAATCCCCATCCCAGTATCTGACAGAGTAGGCTCCCAACAGATTCAAACTAGTAAGAGCTCAGCCAATTCATCTGAAGCCTCTTCCCCCAGCTTCCTTTACAACGAGGAGAATATGAACATACATTCACCAAGTACAGCGCGCGAGTTGAGTGTGAGGACGGACGCGCGAGCCGATGGCGCCACTGTCACTGTCCGGCGGCGCACCGCCGTGCCCCACTGCGAACCACGATCTCGATCAAACTCTCTTCGCTTTAAACGTATATTTGATATGATACCAGAAGAAAAAAGCATCGTGAGTATGGAGACGAAAAATGAAGATCATACGTACCGGCGCCTCGCGTCGTTACCATCCTTGAACGACGACCCGTCTAACGCTGAAAAAGGCTATAATACGGAAGAAGCTCTAAAAATTTGCCGCACGTCTGTCGGAACCGTGAGTGTAAACTTGACCGCTGATCCGACGATTGGAAAAGAGACGAGGAGCGCCGGTACTTCTCCCATGCCCAGTGGAATAGTACATCGCAGTGTATTGACGCAAACCCACGCTGCAGGGTCATCGACTTCGCCTAACCGATCTGTAGCTACGAGTCCTATTAGAAATATGTCCATGTCTACACAGACTCTCTCGCCTCCGCGAAAAAGTGGTTCGAACCAATATCCAAAGATTAAATTCCAACAGCAAGTTTCGCAAACTTTGCACCGTCGTCGAGAGCAATCGCGCGAGTCGTGCGCCCAGCAGCAACCGCAGCCGCCGCAGCCGCCGCCAGGCCTCGCCGTCGCCGCTTACACTCACCACTGCTTCGTTCATTCCCGTAGAGTAGCCAGCACTGCACCTCATCGTACCGATCGTCGCACACTACTACATGTTATTTATACGAAATCACTAAGCGTCTTACATGGCACTGTAAAATGTTAAATAAATAAAGTATTTGGAATAAATCTTTGTTTCATTTTGACCAAGGTGGAGGAACAGGACGTAGGGAGAAGAAAGGTCGACACAATGAAGTATTACGGCTCCCGCAGTGCGGCGCGGGGCTGGGCAGTACGGGAGGCACGGCGGACTGCTCCAGCTCCAGTTCGAGCGAGTCGGGTGGGCTGCTGTGCGCGTTGGCGCCAGGCTGGCTGCATGCGCGTCGCCGCCGTCGCCGCCTCGCCAGCGACGCAGGTAGCCCGCGCCGCGCCATGCTCTCCGCGCCCCGCACCCCCCACCTACCTCACACTCACCGGCCCAAAGGCCTGCCTCCACCAATATCTATAACTTATGTGAGATGCTTGTCTACTATTACGAGTAATACGAGTAATAGTTAGTTACTTATAGTCGAGGTGTGTTCTAGGTTTAGGGACGTATTTCAGCAATATAATGTCGTCTGGGTCCATCCTTTCCTTTTTTTACTCAGCCGCCGTTGGACATTTGCAGTTAAACATCGTGATTCCTAATTAGTGGTTGTTTCTTCCTGATCACTTATAAGGTACTTCACAGTATTTGGTATTCCGTCGAGCGAAGTTTTAATGCGGAGCGAAGCGGTGTTGAGTAACGGCGATATGACAAGGGCGGCACTGTGTGCAGGGCAGTGGGCGGTCACCGTGGCCGGCTCGTGCCGCGCTGCGCTGCCGACCGACGTCGAGATGAGACTGCGCTTCCCGGACACCGCGCCCGCCGCCTGCGCACCTCCACCACCCGCTGCGCCGCCGGCCCAGCATCTTTGCCGAGCTGTACGTCCCTCTAATGCAACCGATTGCGGTTTCTTCGGTGGTCCTTGATAAGTCAACTTAAAAGTTACAATAACCAAGTTCAGAACCTTTCTCTTTGTACTAGGCGTGAGTAGGAACGGTAACATTTTAATCCGTCTCACAATTATGAAGCACATTTCATAAAGGAGCGAATCAGCTACAAACTTTGTAAGTAAATAGTACATTGTGAAGAGGTCAGTAACTACCTCTGTAAGGCTAAGTGTAAAATCACGTGGGCTGATGCAGGAGAGACGCGGCTCGCGCAGGTCGACGCCTCCCGCCCGCGTCGCGCTCGCGCTCACCAAGGAAGCCTCAGGTGAGCTGATTCCGATCTACACTCGATTGTGTCTGCAGAGCATGCCATACTTGTTTCTTTTTTTTATTTTTTATTAGCTATTGCTCGCGACTTCGTATGAAAATGAAAGATAATTAAAAATATAGCCTATGTTACTGATAACGTACCTTTTCAATCGTGTAAGAGTTTTCAAAATTGGCCCAGTAGTTTTTGAGTTATTCCAATACATGAAAAAATACAATTAACTCATCTTTATAATATTACTATAGACAAGCTTTGGTCCGCGTGGAATTAAAACAGTAAAGTTAGTGCATATGTGGCTATGTGCAAATATTCATCTATAATATTAGCGATACGTATTATTTAATAATAAAATACTTCTAATTAGAGCTGGGCTTGTACACTAATCCAGCGCCACAAATAATCCTTCAAAGATCCGCATCAGGCTCATGAGCTGCAGCGTTGCCCCTGTTATATACAGTTAAATATTAACATTCAATTATTTAAAAAAAAAAACCGAAGAGCAAAAGATCGAATTTTATGTTACTTTCAACAAATTCAGCATTAAGGTAACACATTAGAAAAATACTGAGCAACTGAACAACTCCTTTTAAAGCCTCTTATGAGACAAGCACCACTATTACTTCCGTTTCCTAATATTTCCTAACAATACTATAAAAAACCTTATCGTTTCATTCAACTAAATGTAAACGTTTTGTCTAAAGTCTACTTTTTATCAAATTAGATTCTTCAATTCTTGCGTCGAAGAGTTTGAAGAAGTCAGTGGACTCTCTGCCCGACGTGGAGACTTTCCGCGCCTCTCGCACCAGCACCAAGCAATCCGTCAAGGTAACTGCCGCCTCCGCTGCCGACGCGACCGCTCTCAACCGCGCTCAGCAACACTCAATTAATAACAATGGATTAAAAAAATCACGTCAGCACATAAAGAAAACCCTTAATAGTTTAGTTTTAAAGCCGTACGACTTAGGGCCCTTCAAGAAGCGAGCTTATCTCGTGCCGTGTCTCCGGTGTTGCGGATGTCCATGGCCGTCGATGATCTCGTTGTTTCAGTTGCTTGTTTGCTCCCTTCTCTTATAAAAACAGAAAAGTTTGTATTAGGATGCTAAATAACCATGAACACTGCACATCGATTCAGCATTACGATAAGAACAGATGTAGCACAGATGCGTGTTGGTAACGTAGTATTTATATCTAGAAGGCGATTGTTTCAGACGCGGCGTTGCTCCCTGGCCTGTTGGCTGCCCCACCAGCCGCACGACGCCGCGCGCCCTTTGCCAAGGTACGCTCCACTCCTCGATTCTCTCCACTCCTCGCTGCTCCACTTCGCTCCGCTCCACTTCTCACCACTCCTCGCTACTCCACTTCGCTACTCTCCACTCCTATGGCTTCGCTCCTCATCGCTCATCGCCTAGTTCTCTATCTGTTCTACCTGGTTTTGCAAATTTTTCCCCTTTTTTTAAAAAAAAAGTGTTTGTTAAAGAAAAACTAAATATCTGATACTAAGATCAAAAAAGCTTTGCTCTGCTGCAACAGACACTAGAACCAAATGATAAGGATTTAAAGAATACAAGTACCTGATAGCTATATACTTACTTTACGTAACAATATTTAATAGTCGCTATCGTTGTTCGTTAATGAAAAACATACAAGTTGTTGGCATGTGATTTGTCGTAGTGAGGCGTTGTCGGTAAGAGGCGCCGCCATCGTGCCGTCACGCAAGCCGCGCGCCCCGCGCCCCCCGCGCCCTCCGTGCCCCCGGCGCCCCCATCGTCCGCCGCACCTCCCGCGGCCCGCCGACGCTAGTAACCACCGCGACCTCTGCGACCTTTACGACCACCACCTTGCATAAAATGTGACATGTAAAGTAAATTATGAACGAGCAAAATATATTGGATTTTTTTTTATTTTCCTTCCTTACAAGACACGGCAGTGACAAAACACACTTACTGGAAAGCTGGAAAGACTTCTTACAATAATGAACATTGGATTGTACCCGGTTAACATTTAGCCGGTACAGTTGGACAGTGGCGCTGGACTGTATCGTATGCATAGACTCAATGGCGCCAGTTAGTAATCGCACCGTGCCAGTTAAATACCTGTCCAGTTAGAGAGCGCGTAGTTGAGTTGACATACAATTGCGGATGTCGCAGCAGCGGTCGTTTCGCCATTTCGGCGGATTCAGGTGGCCAATTGCTCTTTTGCCAGTTTAATAATAAATAAAAAAAGGTTTGCTCCTAGAAATATCTGTAGTTCTAATTTTATTATCTTATTTTCTCATTTATCAAATTTAGATTTTCGGTTTTAAAACGTTGTTTTCGAAATGTGCCTTATTTTTGAGAACCCGGTGTTGATCATTTTTTAGTCTTCTTCTTTTTTTTTTGAGTCCTGCGATAAAAAAATGAAGTTGTTTTAATATGTGTACATACAGTCGGTGAATCGCGAAACGATAACCAATAAAAATCCAAACATCGTACACATAAAATAAAATAAAACAAACGAGCAATAAATTACCTAGAATAAGATATAATGTGCATAACGCGATATGCGATTTTCGAGTTTTCGATAAACGATATGCGTTATGCGTTATGCGCTATGAACTATGCGCTATGCGCTATGCGCAATTTGCATACCGCGATATGCGATTTTCGATTTTCGAGTTTTCGATAAGCGACATGCATTGTGCGATATGCGCTATATGCGATTTTGATGTTTCGGGTTTTCGACAAGCGATATGCGCTATACGCTATGCGCAAAGCGCATAACTCATATTGCTTATCGAATACTCGAAAGTCGAAAGTCGAAAATCGCATATCGCCTCATGAACATAGCGCATAGCATATAGTGCATAGTGCATAGCTAGGTAGGTTTTTTTTTTATTACCTTTATTTGAAACACATATGCAACGTTAAGACACAAACGGATAAACATGATCAAACAATAATGATAGTAATAAACTAAATCAAATATAAATTATTAACGCAAGGCCCAGGCAGCAGTGTCCCGAAGCGACTGTACGAGTATACTGGGTGTAACTGCTGCCGGGATTGATTGAACAATGTTTTTGCACGTGTAGAGTCCAAAGTACACTTATCGAAAGAACAAACATTATATTCACTTAAAGGTAATAATTGAGGTTGAAAAATAGGAATTGTTATTGTTAATGGTGGGACTGTATATTCTGGTACAGTTGAATGACACTGAATTGCAGTTAAACAGATTATTGTAAGAAAAATACAAAACTTTTTAATAAAATAACAAAACCGACTTCCAAACAAAATACACTAAAAACGAAATATTCTCAAAAAAACATTACACTAAAAAGTAACGAAATAATTCCTTGAAAATATTAAACCTACCTTATTGTCAGCCGAGGTATGCAGTGATATTTCTACGTAAGCGAGCGTTCGCACGGGCAGACTTTGTACGCCGCGGTAAAGTTTTTTAAAAAAGCAGACTTTTTACGCCCACGCGATAGGTGTTCGTACGAGCGTAAAAAAATCACTTTTGAATCGTACCTCGTGTCAGTAGGACGTGTAAATGGTTTCTGTTAAATTACTAGCCCGAGGCGAAAACTGGCGACTAAATCCGAAGCCGCGTAGTTAAAGAGCAAACTAAAAGTAGACAGTACATTTTCATAAACATATTATGTAGACATTTATTTATTAGATTTCTATTAACTAGTAGCGGCTCGTGGCTAGTGAGATACAGGACCCACGCGCCAACAATTTGAATAATTGAAATCCTATAGACCAACTATTTTTCTTTTGATTTTACACAAAGACATTTAAGAAACATAGACTAGGCATGTTTTCATCGGTACTTTCTCTGAAAGGTACTATATCAGTTGTCAAATTTAGTATGCAGCCTCGTGACCTTGTATTGACATCTGATAAATTCTTTTACAAAATT